ATCTCCCTCTCTGTCCCTCCCCTGCTCATACTCTGTCTCTCAAAAATAGATGAACATTTAAAAAAAATTTAAATGTGAGTATGTTGTTTAAATGTCATACTGCTGGTGGTAAAGATCAATACACCCCCCTTGAGACACAAAATAAGGACCTCTTGATGTAGTAATCTCATTCTTCAGCACTTAAGGAAATATTGACAGACTGGGAGGAAAAAAAAGTCCATCCATACAAAGAGGTTCATTTTAGCATTATCTGTCTGGCAACAAACTAAATTTCAAATATAAATAAAGCTGCGAGGACCACATATACTAAGGCTTTTCATCTAAAATACATATGAATTGAGCAAAGTCTAGATGATAGCAATTAAAAATGAATAAAGTTGGGCTAAGATGCCAGAACAGAATGAATTTCTCATTCAAACATGTTCGTTATTATATTGTATACTGAAGAGACAAAAAGGCCTAATTCTCTACAGGCTCTATGAATAGCCTAACAGGCAAAACAATACTAGTTGTTAAGGAAAGTGTACTCACCTGCTTTCCATCAACTTCAATATCTGCCACATAGTTCTCAAACACTGTGGGTACATACACCTCTGGGAACTGGTCCTTGCTGAAGACGATGAGCAAGCAAGTCTTGCCACAGGCTCCATCACCAACAATCACCAGTTTCTTCCGGATGGCAGCCATGCTGAAACAGGAGACAAAGGTGTTATCTAAAATGAACAAGAAGCTATTAATAGCCTCAGGCTATGACACACACTGTTCTGACCATAGGGAACAAGCCTCTATTGGCACACCCAAATACAAAATGTTAGTACCCCTTTCCACTTGACACCAAAAGGTCATACCAAAATCCCACAACTAAGGTTATACTTAACGGTAAAAAGACTGAAAGCTTTCCCCCCAAATCAGGAACAAGACAAGAATGGCCACTCTTGCCACTTCTATCCAACATGATACTGGAGATTCTATCCAGAGTAATTAAGCAAGAAAATGAAATAAAACATCCAGATTGGAAATGAATAAGTAATACTATCCTAATTTGCAGATGACATGATCTTATATATAGAAAATCCTAAGGAATCCATTAAATTATTAGAACAAATTCAGCAAGGTGGCAGGATACAGGATGAACATATAAAAATCAATTGTATTTCTATAACCTTGCAATGAACAAACTGAAAATGAAATTAAGACAATTTCACTTATAATAGCTTCAAAATGAATAGGGATAAATTTAACAAAAGTACTAAACATACTCTGAAAACTCTGAAACACTGTTGAGAGAAAGATCTAAATAAATGAAAAGACATTCGTGTTTCCAGATTGGAAGACAATACTGTTAAATGACAACATCCTCCAAATTATTCTACAGATTTAAGACAATCCTTATCAAAATACCAGTTGGCTTCTTTGCAGAAATCGACTAACTGAACAGAAAATTCACACAGAAATTCAATGGACCCAGAATGGCTAAAACAATAGTGAAAAAGAAGAACAAAGTTGCAAGACTCACACTTCCTGATTTCAAAACTTACTGCAAAGATACAGTAATCAAGATAGTGTTGCACTGTCATAAAGACAGACACTGTGATCAATTGAGAGTCCAGAAATAACCCCCCCACATTTAGAGTCAAGTGTTTTTTTTTTTTTTAATGTTTATTCATTTTTGAGCGAGCGAGCGAGAGAGAGAGAGAGAGAGAGAGAGGAGAGAATGTGTGCAAGTGAGGGGGAGGGGCAAAGAGAGAGGGAGGCAGAGGATCAAAGCAGGCTTGGAGCTGATAGCAGAGAGCATGATGCAGAGCTCAAACTCAAACTGTGAGATCATGACCTGAGTCTGATGCTTAACCAGCTGAACCACCAAAGTGCCCCTAGGGTCAAAGTGATTTTCAACAAGGATGCCAAAACAATTTGATGGAGGAAAGACAGTCTTTAGAGGAAAAAGTCTATTTTCAACAGATAGTGTTGAGACAACTGAATAGATCCATACAAAAGAATAAAGTCAGAATGCTACACCTCAAATCATATACAAAAATCAACTCAAAATGGATAAGCCCAAATGTAAGAGTTAACACCATAAAATATTTAACTCCCTATCTCCCTTTTCTCCCTACTCACCCCTGACAACCACCATTCTACTTTCTGTCTCATGCTACCTCATTTGGAAGTGGAATCAGCACTATTTGTCCTTTTGTGACTGGCTTATTTTACCCAACATAATGTCTTCAAGGTTCATACATGTTGTATCATGTGTCAGAATTTACTTCCTTTTAAGGCTGAATAACATTCCATTGTATGTATATACTACAGTGCCCTTTGATCCATGGATAGATACCAGGTAGCTTCCAGCTCCTGGCCACTGTGATTGATCGATTGATGGTTTGTTTATTTTTTTTTTTTAATTTTTTTTCAACGTTTTTTATTTATTTTTGGGACAGAGAGAGACAGAGCATGAACGGGGGAGGGGCAGAGAGAGAGGGAGACACAGAATCAGAAACAGGCTCCAGGCTCCGAGCCATCAGCCCAGAGCCTGACGCGGGGCTCGAACTCACGGACCGCGAGATCGTGACCTGGCTGAAGTCGGACGCTTAACCGACTGCGCCACCCAGGCGCCCCATGGTGGTTTGTTTATTTTTGAGACAGAGTGCAACTGGGAGAAGGGCAGAGAGAGAGGGAGTCAGAGGATCCGAAGCAGGCTCTGCACTAACAGCAGTGAGCCTGATACGGGGCTCAAACTCATGAACTGTGAGATGATGACCTGAGCCGAAGTTAGATGCTCAACCGACTGAGCCACTGACTCTTGATTTCAGCTCAGGTCATGATCCTGGGATCTTGGGATGAAGCCCAGAGTCAGGCTCTGTGCTGAGTGTGGAGCCTGCTTAAGTCTCTCTCTTCTCTCTCTCTCTCTCTCTCTGACACACACACACACACACACACAAAGAATATATTCATCATTAGCAACCAACTTTTGTGCTTCAAGAGATACCATCAAGGGGTGCCTGGGTGGCTCTGTCAGTTTAATGGTCAGTCCTTGATCATCATCTCAGGGCATGATCTCATAGTTGGTGGGTTCGAGCCCACAAGCCCTGCTCATGCATGTGCACTCTCGCTTTCAAAATAAATAAACTTAAAAAAGACAGAAAGAAAACAAGAAGACATGGGGCACCTGGCTGGCTCAGTTGGTAAGGCATGTGCTGGCTCAGCTGGTAAGGCATGTGACTCTTTTTTTTTTGTAAGTTTATTTCAGAGAGTCAGGGGCTGGGGGCGGTGCACAGAGCCTGACATGGGGCTCAAACTCACAAACTGTGAGATCATGACCTGAACCAAAATCAAGAGTCAGCCGAAGTCAGATGCTTAACCCACTGAGCCACCCAGGTGCCCTGAGCACATGACTCTCTCTCTCTTTTTTTTAATTTATTTTTGAGAGAGAGAGAGACAGAGTGTGAGTGGGAGAGGGGCAGAAAGAGAGAGGGAGACACAGAATCTGAAGCAGGACTGAGCTGTCCGCACAGAGCCTGACATGGGGCTCAAACCCATGGACCACAAGATCACGTCCTGAGCTGAAGTCAGACGCTTAACTGACAGCCACCTAGGCGCCCCAGTGAGCACATGACTCTTGATCTCAGGGTCCTGAGTTCAAGCCCCACGTTGGGTGTAGGGCCTACTTTAAAATAAATAAATAAGTAAATAAAAATGAGAGGACAACCCACAGAATACTGGCAAATGTTTACAAATAACATATCTAATAAGGGACTTGTATCTAGAACACATAAAGAACCTTACAATACAACAGAACAGCAGCTTAGGTGGGTGGTCTGGCTCAGGGTGTTGATTTGGATCCAGAATATATAAAGAACTACAAACTTAATAACAAAAAAATCAAAGAATCCAGGGCGCCTGGGTGGCTCAGTTGGTTAAGCGTCTGACTTCGGCTCAGGTCATGATCTCATGATCCGTGAGTTCGAGCCCCGCGTCTGGCTCTGTGCTGACAGCTCAGAGCCTGGAGCCTGCTTCAGATTCTGTGTCTCCCTCTCTCTCTGACCCTCCCCCATTCATGCTCTGTCTCTGTCTCAAAAATAAATAAACATTAAAAAAAAAATCAAAGAATCCACTTTAAAAATGGGCAAGGGATCTGAATAGACATGACCCAGCAATTCCATTCCTAGACATACCATCGGAGAAAAACAAAAACGTATGTCCATACAAAAACTTGTGGACAAATGTTCGCAGCAGCATTGAAAATACTCATCATATTCAAAGAGTGGAAACAAACCAAACATCCAACAACTAATGAACAGATAAAATGTAGTATATATATCCAAACAATGGAATATTAGGCAATAAAAAGAGAAAAGTACTAATACATGCTACAATATGGATGAAATCTGAAAACATTACATATGTGAAAGAAGGCGGCCACAAAGAACCACATATTAAATGACTCCCTTTATATAAAATGTCCAGAATAGGAAAATACAAAGTCAACTGGTGTCTGCTTAAGGAAGGGAGTTGGAAAAGAAAGGAAAGGAAATGATTACTAAGGGAATGGTGGGGTTTCTTTTTAGGATGATCAAATTGTTAGGAGATGGAGCACGTCTCTATGAATACACTATATACTATGAATATATGACACTGAATTGTATACTTTAAATGGTTGAATTGTAACATATACGGATTGTATTTTAATAAAGCTATTGTTACAAAACAAAACAAAACAACCTGCAAAATCCCTCCATTTGCCAGAGACGAATTGTCAGCCACTCAAATTCCCACCATTGCCTCTTAGAACAGCATTCTAATTTCCAGCTGGGTGCTTTGTTGCCTAGCTAAAAGACTACATTTCTTAGCTTCCCTTAATTAGATATGGCCATGTACAAAGTTCTAGCCCATGAGATGTAATCAGCAGTGCCTGTGGGATTTCCACGAAGTCTTTCCTAAAGTGAAGTCACATGCCCTTCTTCATCCCCTTCCTTCTTTCTGCTGCTTAAACCTGGAACCAGGAATGCTTTCTGAACAGCCATCCTGGAATGTGAGGATGTAGAAGTATGGATGAAGAACATGAATACCACGTTCTGGAGTTGGAGGCATAACAGGTAGAAAGAGCCTGGATCCCAGTTGTTCTTGGGAGTCACCATCTCAGCCCCAGACTGCCTACTTCTACACTTCTTTTCTGTGAAAAATAATTGTCTTGTTTAAAATGGTATTTTTCAGGGGCGCCTGGGTGGCTCAGTCGGTTAAGCGTCCGACTTCAGCTCAGGTCACGATCTCACGGTCCAGGAGTTCGAGCCCCGCATCGGGCTCTGGGCTGATGGCTCAGAGCCTGGAGCCTGTTTCCGATTCTGTGTCTCGCTCTCTCTGCCCCTCCCCTGTTCATGCTCTGTCTCTCTCTGTCTCAAAAATAAATAAACGTTAAAAAAAAAAATAAAAAAATAATAAAAAAAATAAAATGGTATTTTTCAGGTCTTTGTTACTTGTAGTCAAACTAATCCTCAACAATACAAACCCACAAAACCAGGTTGTCTAAAGCGAATGTTTCCCAAACTGGAGTGGATTCAACAACCCACTGGGATACATGAGGGAAACAAGAGAAACACATTTTCTAAGTCCAGAAAACATAAGAAATTTAGCTTTAAAATTTAAATCGCAGGGGTGCCTGGGTGGCTCAGTCATTTTGAGCATCCGAATTCGGCTCAGGTCATGATCTCACAGTTTGTGGGTTTGAGCCCCACATCGGGCTTCCTGCTGTCAGCGCAGAGCCTGCTTCAGATCCTCTGTCCCCCTCTCTCTGCCCCTCCCCTGCTCACACACACTCTGTCTCTCAAAAAATGAATACACATTAAAAAAAACTTTTTTAAATTTAAATTGCATAAACTCCTTAGGAGAAGATTCCATAATGGAAAGGGCTCACAGTGCTGCCATCACTGATTTGTGACATCATGGTATGCTTAACATACTGCAATGAATATGTGCCTGGCTAAGTATATACAAAGGCAATACAAAGTTTTAATCAAACCCATAAAATGACCTAGTGATTTTAAAGGATCTTTTTTTTTTTTGTACACAAAAGCATTAGATAGAGGATAATACTAATAATGAAAGCATGACACTAAGCATATAGGTAAACAGGAAATGTGCTCAATATCATTCTTTAAGTAACAGGAGTATGCAGGGGCACCAGGTTCACTCAGTCAGTAGAGCATAAAACATGTGATTCTTTAAAAAAAAAAAATTTTTTTTAATGTTTATTTATTTTTGAGAGAGACAGAGACAGAGTGTGAACAGGGGAGGGGCAGAGAGAGGGAGACACAGAATCCGAAACAGGCTCCAGGCTCCGAGCTATCGGCCCAGGGCCTGACGCAGGGCTCAAACTCACAAGCCATGAGATCATGACCTGAGCCGAAGTCGGATGCTCAAACGACTGAGCCACCCAGGTGCCCCCAAAACATGTGATTCTTATCTCAGGTTCATAAATTCAAGCCCCACACTGGGCTTGGAGCTTAATTTAAAAAACAAACAATCGGAGCATGGAATCAAAACAGTTTTGTGTTGAGACCAGACTTTAAACTACAATCTGGCACTCTGACCACCCCATTCAGCTCCCTCTTTCCCTTTTTGCTTTGGATTCCTAATGGATATGGGACCTGCCTCAAGGTCCTATACTTGTTTCCCGTGTGTTTTGTCTTCCAACCAGACTGCAAATCATCTCAGAGCAAATAACCTATCTTACATTTCTTTGCGGCTTTATGTGGTTTGGTACTTTAGTGGGCATGTAGTAAGTATTAAATAGAAGAAAATAAAAAAATCAAAAAACATTTCTTTGAATGAGAAAGGAGATAGATTACCTCATTTTCAGAATCCAGGGCACAAACATTAATGGATTTCTCTCTTAAAAATTGTTCCTCTATGTTTAGTCTGACTGCAAACATCTTGATAGAATTCATATATCATTTTCTGTTTTTCTCATGCTCTCAAAATCACTTCATGATTTTATATACTCTATACATTTCTTCAGGCCTAGTTTGTATCGGTTTGTGCCCAAAGTCAAACAACCAGAGCCTCACAGGACACAAAATTCATCAGGAAATCCCTGGTTCAAAAAAAGGCTGCCAGCTTTGAATACATCCTTCCTAGAAGGCACTCAATTCTCAAGAAATAATCTCTCTCAATCTAATGTGGCTAAAGACACACAAAATGAAAATGCCAGGGAGAACCAAAAAGGCTCTGGAACTTTTTCCTTATGGAACATGTGGCCCAGGAGAAGTGTAAAACCAATCAGCCCCTACTGCTGAGGAAGACAGAAATTACAAGTGATTACGGGACAAAATGAAAATAAAAGCCTAGAATTACAAGATGATTTCTGGCAGTCTGGCCATTCAACCAAAGTTGTTGACAAGAAGTGAAAAGTACAAACATCAGGTTATTTCCTGAAATGACCCAGGAAAATTTACTCTAGTCTTTCCTTTAACTTTGCTATAATCTAGCATCTTTTTCAAGTACATGGCTTGCCAGCTTGAAAGGAAATCACGCTGAGCTCTCTGCAGTCTCTCTGCCAGATGTGTCATTTTCTAGGCTGAATACAGTCTCAGAAATAATTCTTAAGAGCTTTGAGTAAAGGTTTATTTTTTCAGTAACCATCAGCTATAACATATCTATTTAAGACACCTGTAACAATATGTAAAGGACTGTAAATTTATTTCATTGGTTCAAAATCTTTATGTAGGTTACTGTGCCGCCCTCACAAAAGTTGAAAGGAAAAAGAAATGACAAAAGGAGATCTCTGATGGTGCTGAGAGGGCACAGAAAATACCTACTCCAATTTATGTTATCTGCCATTACAAGACCAGTCTCTCCCACAATCTCAAAAAACTGTGTTTTGGTTGTGGACTAAATTTTGGCAAATTAAGCAGTTACTGTTAACAAAAACAACCAATGTTTTAACATATTTCTCACCCATATGCAAATAGAAACAGGTGTCCAAGAAAAGCAAGAGAAGGGCTACATGCAGTATCCCATGTGATCCCATGCTTCATACTCAAAAGACACAAGGACAGACAGCTCACTCACTGTCAGGAGCCACACCTGAGGCCTCCAGGGCAGCACCCGAGGGGGTGAGGTATCTCAACAAACATCTCTTATGGGGTCTGGCATCACCAGAGGCACTCAGTGAATAACAACTCCTACTACTAAGGTCTCCCCCGCTGCCAGCCTTAACCTCATGTCCTCTTTTTAATTTATATAGTATTGCCACTTGTGGTATCACACACCTCCTTCATCTCTCCCTCTCTAATGGCTTCCTTCTCTCAGTCTACAATAAAGTGCAGAATGCCCCTATTTTAAAATAATAAATCTTCCCACATCCATGCTTACTTCTGGTTACCTTTCTCTCTCTGGCCTGTTCAAAGAAAAGGTATACATTTCTGCAGCTTCATACTGGCTTGCTTAAAATTCCTCCCATCTACTTTCTGCCCAAACTTCTGAAACTTTCTCAGAAGTCACCAATGACCTACCTTCACAAAATCCAGTCTGTATTCTCCTTGATATTTTTTGTTGTAACTTACCTCCCTAACAAAATATGATCTCTGTTGTCTGTCTCCTTAGCTACAGCCTCCACGCCTAATCACTCCCCTAAGACTGGGCTTTTCCCTCATTCTCCTTATACTTTATTATCCGGGGATCTCAATTCTTCAAAAACTACTTTTATGAAATGTCATTCCCAAATCTTTCTCTGACCCAGTCCCTGTTCTAAAACTCCTGATACACCTCCACTCTATGCTCCACTGGCACCTCAAATTCAACATCTCCCAGACATCATCCCAATCTCTGTCAAATCTTCTCTTTCCAGTTACCTCAGTCTTGGTGATGAAAACAAAATTACATTCCTAAGGTACTCAACTCATTGTAGAAACCTTGTGGTTAAACAATTATCTTACTTTCTTTTCTTTGCTCCTCACAGCAAGACTGCTTTCAAGTTCTGAGGAATTCTGCCCCTTCATGGGTCTCCCTTCCACCACTACCACCACCCACTTTGAGTTCCCATAATCATTGTTCCAACTCAAGTCTTCAGTACTGCCTATCTGGGAAGAAGGCAAAATTCCAACTGGTCTCACCTCCCTTCTATCCTGCTTGCTGTAGCCAAATTCTCCATTCCTATGTCTGGGCTTCAGCCCATTCTGCCTTTGCTCAAGGGCCTTCAGAAGGTCCTCAATGCCAAAATCAGGTCAAGACTCCTCAGCCTTACCATGAGGGTCCTTTAAAATACTAAAGCAGCCTATTTTCTCCTTTCATCTTCTCTCTCATCTTTATCACATACCTAATTCCACTAACTGGCCTTGTAAACCACCCCCCCACCTCAGCTCAAAGTAATGCCTTATTTGAATTTTTTCTTCCTTTCTTCAGAAAATAACACCTTACCTGTCCATCCTAATATTGCCTTCTGTTCCAAAGCCTTTTATTTTTTAAGATTTTTTTTTTAATTTTATTTTTAAATAATCTCTACGCCCACTGTGGGGTTTGAACTCATGATCAAGAGTCACATGCTCTACGAACTAAGCCAGCCAGGCGCTCCCCAAAGCCCATTTCTTATTTCTGGTCCTACATTTTCCACCCCCGAAAATCAAATGTTGCCTCTAAGCAGGGCTTTGGTCCTCTCTTGGTACTTACATTCAATCACATCCTACTCTATGAGAGAGAGACAGCAGTTATATTTCTTGTGTACTTGACTCATATCCATTCCTGGAGTTTAAGCTCCTTCAGAACAGGTACCACATCTTGCTTGGCCTTTCCCACTTGGAGTTGCATAACTAATGGGGCAAGGACATGCTGAATGGGATGCTTATAAAGAGAAACAAAAACTCAAAGAAGGAGCATGTATCCCAAAAGTACTCCTAAAAACTTGACTCATTGGCACTCTCTGATCACTTTTCTTGCAGCAATCATAGTTTTTTACAGGACTCAGCAGAATGAAAAAGCAAAACAACAACAACAAACAGTTAAGAATTTGTTGAGTGAGGGGCACCTGGGTGAGTCAGTCATTTAAACATCTGACTTAGGCTCAGGTCAGGATCTTAATAAAGCTGGAGAAAACTATACAATTCAATGGGTTTTGGTATATTACGTTACTAATGTTTAGAAGTTGTGATAATATATAACAAAATTTGCCATTTTAACTATTTTTTTTTATGTTTTACTTATTCATTTTTGACACAGAGAGTGAGTCAGAGAGAGAAAAAGAGAAAGAAAGAAAGAAA